AAAGCAAATGACTAGTAAATACAAGATTCAGATTGGTGCTTACTTCAGATAAGGGAATAAGACAGAAAGAGAACATAGGCAAGTCATTGTTTCTGTTGTAGTTCTCTAAACAGTAGGCCTACAGGGTCTATGATAGCAACAAATAAAATATGGCCACGAATGCACAAAATGATGACAGTATGTTATACCAGAGATTGTGATTAATATATTTTTGAGCGCCCTAAGATCCATTTAAAAATATCAGCAACCACAATAAATGTATGTTTTGTTTGTTTTTTTTGAGTTGGAGTCTCACTCGGTCGCCCAGACTGGAGTGCAGTGGCCGCTCCCGGCCACCGCAGCCTCGACCCGCTGGGCTCCGGCGATCCTTCCGCCTCAGCCTTCCAAGTAGCTGGAATTACAGGCATGCGCTACCACGCCCGGCTGATTTTTTAATAAATGTAAATGGACTACTCTTTTTTTGTTGTTTTTTTTTTTAGTTGGAGTCTCACTCTGTCGCCCAGACTGGAGTGCAGTGACTGCTCCCGGTCACCGCAGCCTTGACCTGCTGGGCTCTGGCGATCCTTCCGCCTCAGCCTTCCAAGTAGCTGGAACTACAAGTGCACACTACCACGCCCGGCTAATTTTTTGATTTATTGTAGAGATGAGGTCTCACCAAGTTGCCCAGGCGGGTCTCGAACCCACGGGCTCAGGCAATCCACTCACCTCAGCCTCCCAAGGCGCGGGATTACAGGCTGAGCCACCGAGCCCGGCTGGACTACTCTTACTAGTTAACAAAATAAATAAATGAGCACAAGGCAGCTATTATGTTGTTGACAAGAGACACAATTCAAAGTTTAGGACGTGGAAAGGTTGAAAGTAAAAGGATGAAAAAATATATACCAGGAAAGGGCTAACTAAAAAAGTTGCTATATTTATCATATACAAAATAGACTTTAAAGCAAAAAACATTAGGGATAAAGACCATCTGTGCCAATATTAAGGGGATGATTCATCAGAAAAACGGTAAGTCTAAGTTTGTATGCACCTAATAACATAGCCTCAAAATACACAAAGACAAAAGTATAAAAAGTAGAAAATGTACAGTTGTAGTGGGAGCTTTTAATAGTTTTTTTGATGTACCTGATAACATGTTTTTGAAATATCGACAGGAAAATTTGAGAGCTTATAGGAGAAACTGGTAAATCCAGTCATATGGAAATATCAATATACTTCTATAAATATTGATAGATGAAGCAGATGAAATATAAGTAAGGCTATAAAAAATCTAGATAACATAATTAAGTTTGAGCTAACAGACCCATACAGAGTGCTACACTTAATAAGAAGGCATACGTATTCTTTTCAAAACTTAAAAAAAAATTTATAAAAATTCACTATGTACCAAAGTCAGTTTCAATAAATAACAAAGAATCTGTTTCATCTTCTTTGACCCTAATTTATTTGTTGACATTAATACAATTTTAAAACCTCTAAATACCCTTAAATACACCTGTATTGACTCACTGGTCAAAGAAGAAACCATATTTGCAATGTAAACATTTTTTAACCTAGATGATAATAAATAAAAATCTATATAGCTTGTGGAATGTAATTTGAGTGGTACCTAAGTGAAATCTGTCATCTTAAATATTAAAATCAGAAACAGGCAGCTAAAAATGAATTATCTCAGCAACAATTCAAGAAATTTAAAAAATGGGCACCAGAATAAACCTGAAGGGAAGAGAGAGAAGGGAATAATATACAATATATATTTATATTACATGCTATATCATATTCTTATATATGGTAATGAGAATACAGTATGTATTATAATGTAAGAACAAAAATTACTGAAGCAGAAAAAAAAACCAGTGCTAAAACTGAAATCTGATTGAAAACACGAATAGAAAGTAGAAAGAAAACACTGTAAAAAAAAAAAGACAGACGTCTGGCACAACTGATTCAGATAAGAGAATATATGTATAAAATAATATCTGGAATAAAAATAAACATTATTGATAGATACAGCAGAGATTAAAATATATTAAGAGAAAACTATGCACAGCATTTTGTCAATGCACTTGAAAACCTACATGGTATAGATAATTTTCTTGAAAAAATATAGTGTATAAAAATGGACTGAAGAAGAAGAGATCTATAGCCATTAAAGAAGTAGAATCAGTAGTTAAAAATCAGCCCACGAAATGTCTATCCCCGACCCAGACATTTTATCGGCAAGTTCTACCAAACATTCAAGGAACACATAATTCCAATCTTATACACACTGTACCAGAAAATGGAAAAAGAAGGAACATTTACCAGTTCATTTTATGAGGCCAGTATAACCAGACAAAGGCAATATGAAAAGGAAAAATTGTAAACCATTTTACTTATGAACACGAATACCAAAATTTCCTAGAATGAAATGAAATCTTGACCGTCATTCATTCATTTATTCATCCACTCACTCATTTATTCAGTCAATAATTATGTACTGAGCGTCAACCATGCACCAGCTGGCACTGTGCTGGCACACGGAGAGCAGAAAGGGATGGGAGAGTTCATGGCTTGGTGGCGGAGATGGGCAATAAAACAAATGATCACACAGGGTAAGGTACACAGGGGACGTTCTGGCAGGGCGACGGTGCATACCAAGGGGCATTTGACCCTGTCAGAGAGGTCTGGGGGAAAGATTTCTAGGCACAGAAGTGGTGGAAGCGTGGATGTGGGTAGACTGTTTTGGAGGCTGTTGCAGGGCCTTTGATGGGAGATCTGGGTTGCAATAGCAAGAAGGGCGGATTTGGGAGACACAGGAGGTGAAACCCACAGACCCTCATGAGGGGATCGCACATGGGAAGAGGTGAGGAAGAGGGTTCACTCTTCTTGTCTCTAGGATGGCTAGGGTTTGTTCGCTGACAGAAGGAATCCCAAAAGAGGTTCAGATTTAGAGGTAAAGAGCACACATATGGCTTTGGACATGTTGAGTTTGGGGTACATTTAGGAAGGCCAAGTGGGGATGTTGAATAGGAAATTGACCAGAGCCTGCAGCTCTTAAGGAAGGTCAGGGCTGGAGATTTTAATCTGCGTGGCATCAGCATCAAGGTGGTATTTAAACCCATCTGGCAGACTGAGTTCCAAGAAGGGAGTGTTCAACATTGTCTTAGGCCGTTAAGCCTTGAAGAGGGATAAGAATTGATATTGTGCTGCTGAAATTCTGATGCTTGGGCCACATTAAGTGAGTGAGCTAGAGAAGAAATGCATACTACTAAACGTAGTGTAGTGCAAAGGGGACAGCAAGAGGGTTTTTGGGGGACAATGAAACTATGCTGCATCTTGATTATGGTGGTGGTTACACGGCTCTGTGTATATATCAAAACTCAGAGAATTACAGCCCAAGAAGAGTAAATGTTTCTGCATGTAAGTTAAAAATAAAAACAATGTAGTAATGGAGACTTAAAATCTAGTTTGTTTGTTTTTCTTATTCTCAGCCACTGACTTTGCAGCTGTGTTGCTAACCCCTCTTAGGGTTTTAAATCAGTTCTGTAAGTGTCAACTCATGTAGGTCTATCCCGGGGAAGAAGCACCCCCACTCTTGCCTTGTGAAGGACAGAATAAACGGGCAGCAGAGCCAAACGGCATTGGCCTGCTAGCCAGAGTCCCCTTAAGAAATGACAGGTGGGAGTTGAGTGTAGCCTGGTGGGTTTGGCACTTCTGAGACCCTGATATAAAATAACGGGATTGGATTAGGAAAGGCCTTTCACCTAGGAAGGCCTGTGGCTCTATCGTAAAAACCTAAAATACAATCAGTTAGCTCAGTTGCCTGCATTGTTATCTAGAATAATCATAATACACTATTATCATAATAGCAACAGGCTCTTCAATACATGTGACCCCAGATGGTTTGGGAAGCAGCTTGGAGTGACAGGAAATGCTCGGGTTTGTGGTTTAAAGCTTGAAAGCACCTTCTAAAAATATTGAGTAGTGATTGATAATCAACACGAACCATATAGGTTTACAATGAAAAAGGCAATTTGAAAACATGGGTTCACTTCAACTCCTCACCTCCACCCCATCAATCCCGTCAAGGAGGAGTTATCCATTTAGAGAACAGGGAGATTGAAAGTCTGGTCACCCAAGGCTTTGGCTGGGGTTGAGATTTTCAAAATATTTCCCTTTTCTAAGACCCACAGTGAATTTGGTACAGTTTTGGTGTTGAGTATATTCCATTGTCTCCTAATCCTACGAAAATTAATAGAAAAGTGTTATTTGGGCGTCATTTCATGCTTAACATTAATCTGAGTATTTGATGAAACACAACTTTATGTTGCCCCTCATGCCATATTAACTCAGATTACTGTAATAATTTAAAACAGTGCAGATACTTGTATCCGTATTGTTTTAAATACCCCATAAATTGAATCCAGCGTCAATCTGGCCAGCTCGGAATCTGCTGGAGAAGTGTGTAATGCCTTTGGAAAGCTACATACATCATCTTTTTGGAGTTTTCAGTATGTGAAGGGATGAAGCCAGCACTTATTAAGCACCTACTGTATGCCAGGACCTGTGCTGCACCATACTACTCCTAAGGTGGGGGTGTCTGAAACCTGTTACTTCCAGGTCGTAAGGGGTCTTGGGCTATTTCAATCTCATGCATTTTACTATCTTGACATGCAAATTCCGGGTAATTTTAGAAATAAAATAATATAATGAACGGGTTAGGGAGGGATTTTCTGAAATAACCATCCTTCCCAGCCATCCCAGAGACACTCCAAAACTATTTCTCACTATATATTACACATTTGCTTTGAACCCCAATCATTTGACCTTGACCCCTCTAAACTTATTTTATTATATTTTTAAAACTCTATATGAGTAACGCGGAAACCCTTTCTTCGGCACTTTTCGCCCCTGGAATCGCGTCAGTTTCTCAAAGTTCCAAAATAACCTTTCCCGGGCACGGATTCGTACCTCTGCTGGGGAAGGGCGGGGAGCCGCGCAAGACGTGCCGGTGTGGAGCGAGAGCCGGAGAGAACTTCCAGCGCGAAAGGAAAATAAAACTTGTGGCCGGTGTTTGTGCGGGAGGGTCTCCGCCATCCTGAAGCCCCCTGATCCTGGGGGGTATCGGAGGCCGCCCGAGGAGCGCCAGGGTGTGGGTTTGCTCCCGACGTCCTTGACCTAAATTTCTGTGCGGTGGCTGGAAACAGGGCGCAGAGCAGGGCGGGCGGCCGGTGCCATCCCCGGATCTCGGCGACAGGGGCCGGCAAACTTGAATGGAGAGGCCGAACTAGAAGGGGTGGGGGGCGTCTTCTCCCGGGTCCGGATGAGGAGCCGCAGCGAGCTCC